CGATGAATGAGACCGAAACTGACGAATAAATTCAAAAGAACATGATGTGATGTATACGATAAAAATGATTCTAGTGCTGAACAAAATCCGATTAAACAAATATGAAAATTGCGATTAAAAAAAAAGCAAAAAAGAAAATACTGAAAAAAAGAAAAATTAAAGAATTTGATAGTATAAAATTTTTACTTGTAAATGAAACCAATCCTCGCAAACAATACACTGCAGCATTTCTTCATCTTCATAACCGACACATGGATAGGGGCGATTGCATGTGCAATAAAGACCGTCAAAATTATGATTGTATTTGTTGCGTTCATTCTCAGCCTTCTTTTCCTGAACAACAGTTTCCATATTATTTTAATACGTGATTATTTTTTTGCTCTCTTTGTGATATCCTTTCTCGGTATGCTCTTACCAGCTGTACAGTTGGTAAATTTGCTATCTGCTTTAAACAATGCTGGATCGCCTGATGATTAGCATTCTGGTGACCCTGACCTTCGTTTGGTCTCTTGAAAGAATTACGAGTTTAACGGTTAGAGACATCAGAAAAGACTTCAGTCGTTTTCAGATTTCCTTAGTGTATTTTAATCATTATCATTTATCCTTCGAACACCATCAGTGTTCCGCGATGTAGAGATTTCTTACCAGCTGCGTTTATGATTTTGTGAATTAAAATGTATTAAAATAATTCACAAAATCATAAACGCATCTGATAAGAAACCTCGATATCGCGGAGCACTGGTGGTGTTCGAAGGATGAATGATAATGACCGAAAATATACCAAGGACATCTCAAAAAGACAGAAGTCTCTTCTGATGCCTCTAACGGAACAATTGTTAAACTCGCAATTCTTTCAAGAGACCAGAGGAAGGTCACGGTCATCAGAATGCTAATTATCAGGTGATCCAACATTTAAAGTAAACAGCAAATTTAACTGCACACCTCCTGGGAGCATACCGAGAAAGGATATTACAGAGAGAGCATAAAAACAATCATAAAAACAGCGTAAATATATAATTGATACAAAATATGATAAAATCAAGCAAAATAAATATAAGCATTTTTAATTTTCAAGAAAATTTATGCCACGAGAAAGAAAGGATAAAAGATGCCAGACAAACAAAGCGGGCCGAGAGCCGCAAAAGTGAAATAAGTAAACGACCACTGGGGAAGCAGTCAACTGAATGCCTAGACAAAAATAACATAAATGTGACAGGCTCAGAATAATGCGGGATGGAGAAGCTGCTAGAGGTGATATTCCCGGCAAAAACGAAAACAACGATGAAGTAGTAACTGCTTAAAATTTCCGTATACAGACTTTACAACACCACACAGTCATTATTCTTTTTGGTTTTCGAAGTACATTCACCGAAAGGGACTTTTTCCGTACTCTCTCCCTTTTTCTCCCAAACAAAGAAAAGAAAAGGCATGCAAATCCCAGTAAATGTCGAGATTTTTGCAGGCCGAACACGAGATAATGCAGTACTGGCAACATCAAGTTCTCAAACTGGATAGCCATTAGACCCACGTATTTACAAATACTATTGAAACAGGAATTCGATAATGAAATAAAGCTAT